CAGGCCGGCGGACTTTTTGGACAGGCCTAGCTTCGGTGCTCTAATAACTCTTTTATAAATTTTAAATATATAGAATTTCTAAATTGGCTAAATAATAGGAAGTCTATTTTGGTCTTAATTTCCTTTTTGACTGCATTTTACTTTCCTATTTTTTTCTCCCAAAAACTAGCCAAATAACTCTTTTCTTTCTTGCCTATTTCCTTTTCCCCTCTCAGCCGCTTGTAGAAAATCAGAAGACTGGTTCAACGCCACTTCTCAAATAAAAAGTAGCATGGGGTTGGGTTCATTTTAGTGGAGGATGAGATGGATAAAGAATAAGACAAATAATTCGATAAAAATATTTAAAAACATGCTATCATAACGGTTAACAGTAATGAAGAAAGCATGAATGATGATTGAGAAAAAAAACTAACTATATCTATTACCCCCTCGAACTTGCTAAATTTACAAATATAAGCGTGGTACACCCAATTATCTTCCTAACTGTATAACAGTTAGATGAGACAACGATAGTTACAGATAAAAATTATGAAAATGGGTGTGGTACACCGAAAAATAGTTTTGGGAGCACCGAAACAGTCACCTTAAATATATACTATTTTTTAAAGATAGCATTTACTTAAAATTTATTAATATGATCAAAATACATTGAGAATGCTAGGAAAAATATTTGAATAAGAATTCATATTATTCTATAATGATATCTTTGATTATTTTCGTAAATTTTGTAAGACCAATATTTTTAGTGTAATTATTCTTGTAGAATGATTGAAATTTAGCTTTCTTTAAGAAAACCACTTGGCCAACTATTACGACCATGTTATATTAAACTCCCCAGAATTTAAAATCCCGCGGAGTTAGGATAATTCTAAACTTCACGGGATTTAGAATCCTGTGAAGTTTTTCAACTTTAATCGCAAGCAGCTGAAACTGGGTTGAAATTTGTAAATAAATATGATAGGGGTCGTTTTTTTTAAATAAATTCGTAAAAGGGTCTAAAACGAAAATTTGTCCTTGAATTAGTATTAGGTCTCCAAGTAATTGAATTACTATTAGATCCCTCATTGCTGAAGTTACTTTGAAAAAAGTCACTCAAATCAATAAAATTGTTATTAGATCCCCTAATTTTTCATAACTTGTTTCAAGTTAATCTCTCTAGTTGCTACTTCTACTCTTGCTAACTAAAGAATTATGTGACGTAATAGTCAATTCAATGGTTTGAGGGACTACGTTCAAAATAATTTAAGAATTTAGGGAACTAATAGCAATTTCAATGATTTAAGGGACTAAATCAAAGCCTCAATTGTCTCATTTTAGAAATTACCTGCAACTGTTGGTGCGGATTCAAGTCCCCAAATTTGGCAAAGGGGAATGAAACTAAACAAAACCAGTTTGGCTAAGAAAACCAGTTTATGCTAATCGAGTTCGTCAACTCATGAGACAGTAACGGGTCAATACTCCCAAAAAAAAAGTTAAACCAAAACAACACAGATAGATAAACCCGACTTTGTGAACTCAAACTCAGAACAATAACAACATTGTCGCAACAACAAGGTGACCACCAGCAAAACAAATTACTAAAGAGAACATGGGAAGGAAGTTCAATGCAAATCATAAGATCAGGTCCAACTGCAATAAGCAGAGACCGTTATTATCAATAACAGCAGTGCCTAAGGCATCACATAGCTTCAAGACCTTGAAGGATATCAACCTTCAAATCCTCAAAGTCCTCCAATCCAAAGCTGAACCTGATCAGGTTTTCTCCAATGCCGTACTTGTTTCTCTCCGACACGCTATCCCTGTTTCATCATTAAAATGGCCAAGTGTCAAGAGGATCTTGATCGCTTAAGACTCATACTGAGCTATACATGGAAGATGTACATCCAGTTTGCAAATTCGAACAAAAATGTAGTTAAGTAGCATTACCAGTAAGACAAAATGGCTGGTGGGTCCACTATACTCTCACAACCTCCAAAAGAAGGAGCAAGGTATGGAATTTTCAAAGAATCAATGAACTTTTTAGTCTCTGCCAAGCCTCCGGCTAGCTGCACCCATGAACACAGTAAACAATTTAAGCTAAAAACCTGATACTATGAACAACATCGAAATGATAACCTGAGACCTCAGAAAATATCTGATAATATATATAAACACAAACAAATTCAGTCAATAATACATCTTAAACCACTTTAGTCATAGTTACAATTAATAACAGCTAAAGACTAACATTACTGACCTCAAAACTGACCACACCACCGAAACCAGTCATTTGCTGCTTGGCAATGTGATACTCTGGATGACTTGGCAGTCCAGGGTAATATACCCGTAAAATCTGGCAAGACAATATACCACCAATCCATGAGAGATACGATGAAAAGAATAAAGTGATATGATCGCCACAAGATTGTATATTAGCACTGTTAACCCAACCTTCTTATTATTCAAGCAAAAAGTAGAAACCATATCAATATCCATCATGTACAAAATGTTCCCCCAAAATGGGATGGCTAGTATGGAGGGAGGGATGGAGGAAGAGTTTTGAATACCTTGGGATGTTCCTCTAAAAATTGGGCCATCCTCAATGCTATACTATTCTGATACTGTACACGAAGGTGCAGCGTCTTCATACCTCGAGAGATCATGTATGCAGCATTCTGCAAACATGATTTTGACAATTGATTTAAGCATTACAAAAAATATATAATTAGATCAATGAATTGCAACAAGTATTAACAACCAATATTGAAATTATCAAGCAATAACATTGCAGACCTAGGCTGAGAGGATTAATAATAACATGACATGATGTTATTGGTAAAAGAATGAAAGATGATGCTTAAGCATAATGAAAATCCAATAATCTATACTAATATATGTGTCAAAACTTTTGATTGCCTATTTTTCCCTTGTCAATATTTATTATGATTCTCAAGTTTGATAATTTGCGACTGTTTTTCAATGCTTATCTAATCATCCACTACCATTACAATCTCTAACATATTGCTTCTTCAAATTCCATACAATAATTAACCAGCAAACTTCTTGAGGACCCGTTCTAATGCCTATTAATTAAAATGTCCAATCAACACCCCACGTTCTCTCAGTCCATTTCATGATCAACCCCTGCAACCTCCTAACATCCCTCAATGTATACATCCTCTCACCTCTTTCAAATAAAATTTCTCCCTCCCTAAAGTATGACTATGTACATTTTCTTTGGTAAGTTCTCATTTCTTCAAATTTAATTATATTTTGAAAATATTGCATTTAAATATTGATCTTTATTTTTCCTTTTCTTTTGGTAAGTTTTCACTTTATTTTCTTTAGTTTTCATTTCCTTCTAGTTCCAGAATTGCTACCCATTGCACCAAGAATATTCAAGTACAAAGATTAAATTATACCTAAATTTTGCTTTTTGTAAGCTATTATCATTGTTTATTGGAGAAATTTAATCTAATTTTTTAATAATTATAATAGAGTTTTGAAAATTGTCTACCTCCTCAATTTTATCTAATTTTTGTACTATTATAAGTTTTTCCTTTTGTGGAGATTCAATGAAAATGAAAAGATTTTTGATGTATAATATATAATACAAGCATCATGGAACAAGCATGGCTTGCTAAATAGTATGGTAATTTGCTCTTAAGGTTAAAGTTATATTTGAGTTTTTATTCTAATTTTTATTAAGAAGAAATACCATGTTATTTGAGTTTTTATTCTTAAGGTTAAAATTGTATTTGAGTTTTTATTCTAATTTTTACTAAGAAGAAATACCATGTTATTTTATCAACATGTAATTGGTTACAAATTTGATCAATTGGTCAATGACATGCTACCAGATACTATTCTTTAGTATCTTTTATTGAGCTTGCCCATTCGTAAAGTTATAAGTTTTGAAGAACCTTGTAGCTTAAATTTAATTTTGTTTCTGTACCATAATTCACTAACATCCATCTTACTGAATACATATACTAATAAATTGTGATAAAAGCCATGCTGCTAAGGTTATTAGTACCATAAGATTGGAAGATTGTTTCAAAATGATTAGTTACTTTGAGACCTTGAATCCACCTGATGACTCATTGTCTTCTTATGATGAAGCTACTAAAACTGAGATCTTTGCAACCTCTCTAAGGTGATGTTAATGTGGATCTTCCCCAGTCCTTTGCAAACCATACAAGGATTTCTATGATTATGCTCATAAGGCTGCTAATAGTGATACTTAGAGAACCTTAGGTGTCAATTTCTCTAATTATAACTATTGGTATGAGAATTAAGAGAGCGAAAGCTCCCCCTATCAATAAGCATAGGTGAGTATAAAAACAAACATAGAATAGGGAATAGCTCCCCCTATCAAAATGCCATATAAAATATATGCAATAAAGGATCATGGCAAACATATGTGAGCAAGCATAGATAAGAGCATGCTAAAAAATTTACTCACATACATGAAGATAATGAGAACATATATGAAAATAGTGTCTCATAAAGAACATAAAAGCATGTATAATAGTAGATTTATGAAATCAAAAGAAAAAGAGCATGAGAATCATGCAAAATGTTTTTAAATGAAAACGATTCAATCAAATGAAATCATAAATCAAAATTTAAATCATAAAACCAAAACATCATTGAAAATTATACCTAAATTTTGCTTTTTGTAAGCTATTATCATTGTTTATTGGAGAAATTTAATCTAATTTTTTAATAATTATAATAGAGTTTTGAAAATTGTCTACCTCCTCAATTTTATCTAATTTTTGTACTATTATAAGTTTTTCCTTTTGTGGAGATTCAATGAAAATGAAAAGATTTTTGATGTATAATATATAATACAAGCATCATGGAACAAGCATGGCTTGCTAAATAGTATGGTAATTTGCTCTTAAGGTTAAAGTTATATTTGAGTTTTTATTCTAATTTTTATTAAGAAGAAATACCATGTTATTTGAGTTTTTATTCTTAAGGTTAAAATTGTATTTGAGTTTTTATTCTTAAGGTTAAAATTGTATTTGAGTTTTTATTCTAATTTTTACTAAGAAGAAATACCATGTTATTTTATCAACATGTAATTGGTTACAAATTTGATCAATTGGTCAATGACATGCTACCAGATACTATTCTTTAGTATCTTTTATTGAGCTTGCCCATTCGTAAAGTTATAAGTTTTGAAGAACCTTGTAGCTTAAATTTAATTTTGTTTCTGTACCATAATTCACTAACATCCATCTTACTGAATACATATACTAATAAATTGTGATAAAAGCCATGCTGCTAAGGTTATTAGTACCATAAGATTGGAAGATTGTTTCAAAATGATTAGTTACTTTGAGACCTTGAATCCACCTGATGACTCATTGTCTTCTTATGATGAAGCTACTAAAACTGAGATCTTTGCAACCTCTCTAAGGTGATGTTAATGTGGATCTTCCCCAGTCCTTTGCAAACCATACAAGGATTTCTATGATTATGCTCATAAGGCTGCTAATAGTGATACTTAGAGAACCTTAGGTGTCAATTTCTCTAATTATAACTATTGGTATGAGAATTTTGCTTATTGCATTCAATATCTAAACCGCTGTTATAAATGGCAGTAAATAGCCCCGCAATAGCGGCGCTAATAGCGTTAGCGGTCCCTTCCCGCGACGCTATCGACCGCTATGTTATCGCGCAATAGCAGTGACATATTGCGGAATATATCTGATCGTAAAAGTGGCCAATAGTATGTCATAACGGTAAATAGTGAGCGATTGCATTCAAAATTTGCTTTTTGATTGCTATTTAAAAGCGGTTTGAGGCTTATTTTTTTAAAATTAAACTCAACCCTTAACCATTGCATTCCACCATCTCTTGTGATTGTCAGCATACTCCCACCACCTCTCATAGCCTCTGGCACCTATCTTGATACTTCCTCTCACCTCCTTTACCGTGAGCTCCTTTTAGGACAGTCCTGTCACCACTAAGCACTTCTCGAAGACGACTTTTTGACTCCTCCGGTCATCTTCGGTATTACGTGATGGTTACATGTCTATTTCATGTTTAGGATATCTTTAAATCATCCAATATGCACTTAAATTTCTTAGATTTTTTTTTAAGTTTTTTTAGTATTTATACATATCTAAATTAGACCGATATTTGACTTTACGCTTTTTACCGCTATTTTACCGCAATAGCCCGAATTAGCCTTAGCGACGCCTCACCGCTACGCGACGCTATCCGCTATCGATAACTTTAAACATGTCATGGTGAAAATTGTGTTGCAGATCTTTTTGACAACATGAGAAGCCTTGCAACCGTTAAAAGAATTGGTCTTAATATAATGCTCATAATCTTCTTTGTTGATGATCTTGGCAAGCATTTATCAAATGCACTTCAAAAGTTGGTGAAACTACTTAGCCAGGTTATTATCAAGACACAACAATGAACCCTATAATAGTGCAAATCCCTAAGTTTGTTGATCCTTATCGTTATTATGATCCACCTCACCATATTCAATAACCATCTCATGTGTACCTAATATCCAATTGCAGCAATTATTAGGATTAATTTATCCACTCGTGCTACTTATGTAGTGAATGTAGGGGTTCTTGAAATGAATTGGGATTTTCAAGTATAATCTTCAAAATAATTAGTCTACGTGCTTCTAGATTGATAATCTTCGCAAACATCCATCAAACGAAGTTAAAAAATTAGTACTTGTCTTGGTGATTAGGGTAGTGTTGCTCCAATGCAGTCTGTCTGGATATTAGGCTTGAGATCATGTATGATTCTTTTTATATGAATAGCATTTTGTTTGTACTGGAACTCTTAGATATTACAATTACATAAGTTTGTAGATGACATGTATCACTTAAATGGTATTCTATTATATTCATAGAATTGACTTAATTAGACTTTAGGCCATTCCGGTCAATGTCTTAAATACATCATCAGATGTTTCCACGATATGTGCTCTCTCAATGCACATTGCTCATACAAGTTCCGACCGTTTGTTCTCTGTAGTATTTATGGTTCTATTTATGTTTGTATATAGTTAACCAAAGGTCTAGGTTCAGAGCCTAGCCGCCGTCACCATTCAAAAAGAAAGTACTTTCAAGAAAATTGCTTCCATAAGGTTGATTACGTCTTATTAATAATCTATGGCGTAGTTAGATATCTAAATGTTCGCATGCAACTCTATTTGTCACTCTTATCTATCGCTGAAAGTTAGTTTGGCTTCATTTTGTTTCTTTGAAGTCATAGCATTGTTCCTAATAATCAACAACTATGGTCATTTGATATATTCTAATAGGCATTGAGATTATTTGCAGTCTGAGTGTTCTATGGCTTGCTCCGGGTTCGACAAAGTTACACCATCTTTAACACTCAACTTACCTTTAGCAAGTAGCATATTAAGAGAAAACCACAACTTGCTTCTGGTTTTTATCTAGAATTGCAGTTCAATGTAAACTTTTACATTGAATTTTATTAAAGTATAGTATTGTTTGATAAAATTTTCCCTTACTCTTTTGTCCACATACTTTGCATTGTCGCTTTTTTTAATGATCTGGTTTGTTTATAAATATTTTTCCTCATTATGCTTTAAATTTTACATGGTTATATGTACAACTAAAACTTCTTTTCGATGTCTTGCTTTAAATTTTATTTTTTTCTTTACAATCGCTTTCTTATTTTCCTTTCTTTAAAACATGTTCAGAACATAAAAAATGAGTATGTCCACGTGCAGTGCACGTGCACTATACTAGTAGATGGATAAAAGACGCAACAAAGGTATTTAATCCACATGGGCAGACATTATGGAGATAATCAAGCAGTGTAAAAGGCATGCTTACAGGATCAAGAACACCACCAATAATGTGATGATACTGGCGAACTTTGGAAACAAATTCCTCTGGACCACTGATGCAACCTGCAATAACCTGGAAAGCAAATCTATGTCAATGCAACAAAAAGAATATCAAATAAGCTCAACTTAACTACACAAACTTAACATTATAATTAAGTAAAATTACAAATTTAACTCACATCGTTATGACCAGCAATGAACTTAGTTGCAGAATGAACAACTAGGTCTGCCCCCAAAGTTAAGGGCTTCTGATTGACAGGTGACGCAAATGTACTATCTATGCAAACCAGAGCTCCTTTCTTGTGGCAAAGCTCGGAAACCAACTTGACATCGATGCATCGAAGAAATGGATTGGTTGGAGACTCCGTGAAGAAAAGAGACACCTGAGTGAAATCAACGTATAAGTTATGAAAGAACTATGAAGATAAAGAATATGTGCATACACAGGAGGCTTTCCCTTGTAAACTCCAATCATTCAAACCTACAAACTACCCTTCCACACGCAAGAGAGGCTTTCCCTTAACCAATATGCATTTAGGAATCTATGGTCAATAGCAGCAGTAGCAGTATAATAATAGCAACAGTAACGTTAAAAAGAAAGAGATTGCAGAGAGAGAACAGAAATTCAATAAATACATACGGACCTTATTCTCATCCAGTGCTCTTTCCAGAGAATCCATATCAGCAGGGTGAATGACAGTAGCCTGCAGTTTGAAGATAGTGATATGTGAGCAACAAGTAGAGGGAAATACATGTCAATAGCCAAGCAAGGAAAGGTTTGTATGCTATACCATTGATCTCATTGAGCTATGTACCAAAAAATATTTAAAAGATTTTTCTCTAAATGGATACCATTTGTTTAAAAGCATAATCAAGGTCTCTTACATGAGCTCTTGAGGTGGTAGAAAAATATCAATTTGTAGGATTACCACTCGATAGTGTCCTCATTTGTTAAATTAAAAAAAAGAGACTTTCAAAAACAATTCCTGAAGCCAATTAACATTATTCTAAGGTTACTTCACACAGCATTCCCATAAGCCTTTCAATCAATATCAATACTTTAAAAGTGATTGAATAATAGTACATTAACTGATGGAAATATTTGAATTGACAATTGAATGCTAACAAATACATGCATTACCACTGTCCTAAAGAAAAACTACATATCAATGAAACAGAGCACAGCTATGATAAATGAGCTTTACAAAGCATAATGCAAGCAAATCATAAAATGATGGTTGATATATGACTTTATTCACAATTTCAATGCACTTATTCAAGTATATTCGATGTCTAGCTCTGTATTAGTATTTAATTGTAAGGTGCAAACTAGTTGTCCCAGTACAAAAATAACCTGTTAGGATGTGTCTGGAGACAGCAATCCTTGCAAAAGAGTTAATTAGTCAAACAGTCAATCAATTACATTGAATCAAAATATCCATGTTTATAACACTTTGTAAAAGGTATTTAGTACAACAGATAGCTTCAATGCCAATTTTGCCAACAGGAGGCTACAATTTTCAAAATATTTGTTAAGCAGCTTAAAGATATGGAGAAATCTTGCCAAGAAACTGTTACACCAATTATTGTCAATACAGCATTAACCATCTATAGGCTAGTGCCTATCAGCCATATACAGCAATGGCATTATAATTTCTACATATGTTTAATACTAAGGTGATGCTTCCATATTCCTGCGAGAAATTATAATCAAAGTAGTGATAGGCATATCAAAAGGACCAGTAAATTTGCAGACTTCATCTATGTGTCGATAAGATGATAAAATTGTGTAAACCAAGTAAAAGCTGTTCAGGAAAGTCAATTATTGTTTTTTTTAACAAGAAAGAGCTGAAAGGTTGACAACAAATTAAATTCCAAGAAGTTGCCTTACATATAAAGAAATGTGATGTACTATGATGAAACAATTACTGTCAAAATATGCTACAGCAATTTGTGAGAAGTTAACTCATGGTTAATCTAATTTTGGGAATGAAGTGGATCAAAGAAATTACCTTAATCCCCTTCTTTGGAAGCTCATTCTCAATGAACATCCTTGTCCTCCTATAGCAATCAGTGGTCGTAACTATATGACCACCAGCAGGAACCAAGGCTGAAAGCACCGCACAACTGGCATACATACCTGACGACACAAACAAAGTAGTTTCAGCCCTCTCCAATGCACTGCAATCGAACCACAACCATAATAATTATCAGTGAACAACATTTTAAAAAATGCATAAAAACTACAAATGGTAGAAATGAGTACAGACCTCATCTTCTTCTCCAACATCTGAGTAGTTGGGTTCCCATATCGTCCATACTCAAAGCTTTCATGCCTTCCTTCCTGAATTAACAGAAAAGATCTAGCAATCAAGACCCTTATTTTACGTAAAATATTTAACTAATGAGAGAAAAATCATTTCATGCCTTGAAATCAATCAGCTCGTCACAGTTCTTAAACCAGTATGCAGAAGTTTTGACAACAGGTGTAGTGATCGAATCCGTTTCAATGCCGCGCCCATATCTCTCGCCTGTTTCAAAGATCAGACTCAATTCATCTCTTAACTAAGAATTCCCCTAGAACATAACAAAAGGGTTTTGTCTATAATCCCAGAAACCTTCCCATATTGATTTTTAAACTTGTCAACTTCCAAAATCATTCTTAAACCCCAAAAACCCCATACTGAATTAACTTTTAAACACCCAGTTTCTTTATTTCATCAGTTTTGCATACTATATTAAAAGAAAATATAGCAACTTAGTCCAAAATATAGCAACTTAAACATGAATAAATTATAGCAATAAGTGATAAGATACACAGAAACTGATCAGGTAAAACTTTGGGTTTATAAAATAAACCAAAAAATAAATAAATTGCTGGAAGATCTGAGACATCACCAGCATGAACCAAAAGGCTCGCATCGGAGCCAAACACCGCATCCAAACCTATTAAAAGAAAATATAGCAACTTAGTCCAAAATATAGCAACTTAAACATGAATAAATTATAGCAATAAGTGATAAGATACACAGAAACTGATCAGGTAAAACTTTGGGTTTATAAAATAAACCAAAAAATAAATAAATTGCTGGAAGATCTGAGACATCACCAGCATGAACCAAAAGGCTCGCATCGGAGCCAAACACCGCATCCAAACCGCCGTTAACCGGCGAGATCTGACTCTGTACACCATCTACAACAACCTCACCGTCGCCGTCGCCTCCGGCGACAGAAACAGCGTTCTCCTCCGCCTCGGGAATCACGACCGCAGCCCCATCAACCGCAGAGGCGGCGGCAGAGGAGAAGGGGGTCTCATCGGAAGACGGATAGTTCGCCCAAGAGGCCGCCACCACCTGAGCAACGCCGATGTTGCCGCAGTTCCGGCGAGCCTTGTTGCTGAGCTGGCGAACGAATTTTGGCGGGAATTTGAGGATTAGAGCTGAGGAGAGGCCGTAGCCATTGAAAGATTGAGGGGTTTTGTTTGGAAATGGCGATTTGGGGAAATTAGGGTTAGAGTGGAAGCACGTTGAGGAGGCGGCCATTTTTAGAAAATTGAGAGAGAAAAGGAAAATTGAGCCACTCTCCTCCCTCGCTATTGGGGTTTGTTTCTGATGCGGGATCTTTATTTATAGATTTTTTATTTTTTTGTGAACCAAGTACAGTGAACTGCCGACGTGCGCCCTTAATCTCGATTAGGCCGCCGTGAAATTAATACTTTTTTTTTGTATTAGGAGCCGCTAGATGACAGTCTGTTTAACTTAAGACTGGTTAATATTTTTTTTATCTTAATATTCAACGCTTAATTATTGACTTGGATCAACACTAGTTACAAAAGTGAAAATCCGTGTAGAGGGATGTTATTCATTCTAGATTGTTGAGTTGGACTAGGACAATTGTCCATGAATCTGGTATTCTTAGATTGGGATCTGAACTCGAATTTTATGGTTAGAGCCCCGGACTTTTAGATTCGATTTGATTTTAGTCGGTAAAATTATTGAACTTCTGGTCTGGATTCTTGAACATTTGCTTTGGATTCATAGATTGATGATCGGATTCTCGGATTAAACTTCAGACTTGTGGATTGTTTGCATTAGGAGTTTCAAATTAAATTATTATGCTGAATAATAATCATTAACAAAAAAACATTAATTAAAAAATCACCCTCATTTTGATTAACGGATGACAACAACAAAACTGAATACATCTTGTAATCTATCTCAATAGTTCAAACAAAATATATGTTATATAGTATTAAATATTTGAAATATTTATATATTTGAAAATTGTTAATTAATGAACATATCTAAGTTAATATTAAATATATTAAGTGATTAAGTAGTATTAAATATATTTCATTTTAAATGAATAAAACAAATTTATAGAAGTTGATTAAAAATATTTAAAATAAATACATTCTATGTTAATATATAATAACTTAGAAATGTGGAATATTGTACAATTAAATGAATTTATTTTAAAATATATTAAATATTTAAATAAGTAAATAGAAGAGGAGAGAGGAAATTCAAATAACAACTTCATAGTCCATCAAATTTAACTTTGACTTTTTCTTGAAATTTTCTCATTAAAAACTATAGAGTTGGAATGAAGTGTGGATTTTGAAATTCTAGTACTAGTAACAATCCAAGACAACCAATAACATCTTAAATTCAAATCCAAATTCTAGCCCTAAACCAATAATGCTGTTAGGATCTTATTTTTAAAAAACATCGTTTTAATTTGAAAACTGATTGTAATATGCTTTAATTTCCATCTTTCTCAACTAAAGCACTGCTTTATGCATTTCCTCCCAGTTGACATCGAATCCAGATTTTCCTTTTATTATTCCTTTCATTATATGCACAAGCTAACCTGTCCTTCATTTGTCTTTGCATAGTCCACAAGGAAGACAATGTTTAATCGCTTTTTATTATATCTAATGTAAGATAATTATATTGTGGATTACGCACAACTTGCAATATACTAATACGGTTTTTCTATAGAGTGCCCTTGGGCACTCTATAAGAGAGGAGAGAGATAGAGAGAAATGAATGAGGAGGGGGGCCCCCTGATTTGCATTGGGATCCTCTCTTCATTCATTTCTCTATATCTCTCTCCTCTCTTATAGAGTGCCCAATGGCACTCTATAGAAAAACCGATACTAATAAGTGAGGCACTCTTCATACTTTATCTTCTTTAATTGTCCCTTATCTTAGTTATCCATAAATCCTTTAGACAATGATTTTATTTATTTAATAATTAGGCCCTGGATTAAAATGGTAAAACAATAAAATCATATGAATAGGCAAGACCAAGGGACACGCTCTCATCTAGCCTTTAAGTACCTTAAAATGCAAATTATAATAATTAGCAACGTCTTAATCTCACACAAATCAAGACAAAAACAATAAAGGCCTGTTTGGTTTAATTTACCAAAATGTGGGAAAATATTGATTTCCCGTGAAATAGCCCGAGCTCACAGGAAAGTTGTCAGATTTCAACCCACTTCGGTAAAAAAAAAAAAAATTGTTGAAATGGATAGACATACTATTTTTCAGTTTGTGGAGAGGTGGTTTCTTTTTCTTTTTGTTTTTTTTTAAATGCCAACCAAATATCAAAAGTAAATATGGTATGGAAATGGGTTTACATGAAAGTTAATTAGAAACAACTTTACTTCGCTTTTTGGGAATTGGGATCCTCTCCTCATTCTGATATTGACTAATGAAGAATTGTGAAGAGTTGGGAGGGGGACCCACAAGGATGGATGAGAAAATGAAAGGTCGTGATGAAAATGAAAGGATAAGATCTTCTTATTATGAGATATTAAGAGCTTTTCATTAGGAGAGGATCCGGATCCGCTTTTTGCTCAACCAAGCAACCGCTAACTTTCACAATGAACACATATGAGCGCTAGCGTCAAAATCCACCTACCACTTGCACTAGCATGTGGACCTACCGCCTTTGCTCAAATTGTAAGGCCCACAACTTTTTTCCTCCCCCAAGTCCACACGAATTTCGTTCTCAATTGTAAGCATCTTGTTTTGTCTTATTTGGTTGCAAGTTATCTCACATAATTAGATGTTGTATCGAACCAACACCTTGAATGTTAAGAGGCAAATACCGAGCAGAGATAACGTAAAGAGCGTTAAAAACACTTTCTGTTGATACCTTAATAATAGCATATTCCTACCCATTCATAGGATTTCATTTATTCAAATCTTACAACCCATCAAATTGAAAGACAATTTTGCAAGAACAATTTAAATCAGTGATGCACATCTTTTCGGAACTAATTTCTGGTTTTATATTACCTTGTCCGTGTATCATTTTCTTTAAATGAGATACAGACCTTTTAAGTTAGCACTAATATTTACAATTTTCGACCAAGCCCTAACTTAATTAGTATTTTCGATCTAGTTTCATGAAACTAGGTCTAAATTAGTGAATAAAACTTCACAATATTCGCAATCCCGTGAAGTTTTAATTATCGATTTCTTCGACCTAGTTTCATGAAACTAGGCCGAAATTGCTAACTATGTTATGACTGGATCAAAAATTGTAAATAAATGTTTAAAAGGATGGGTTTTAAAATTTTGTCCGCGCTTTAGTATCAATATCACTAGCGTTAGTCGTTTGGTAATGGCATGAGAAAAGCATTAAAGCGAGCACCAACAAGAAACAAAGCCAAGGACAAGTGAGTCAAGTCGTGGACCACCCACTAGGTGCTGCTCCTGAGTACAAGTCATCTATAGATTTATTCCTTTTGGTTCATCAGCACTCAGAAGGCAAAGTTTTAGCTGCCTACTTATCAACAGTACAACAACTATATGTGTGCATTTGGAGATTGAAGAAATTTTCAAAACAACCTCAAACCATGTTTTAATTTTCAAAACCGACCCACGTTTTTTTATTACCAAAATCGACTCACTTTTTGCCACGTCAGCTTAATCTCATTTCCTAATTAGTCGGGGTTGCCAAGACAGACTATTTAGGACATAAAAAATCGGGTTTAAGGCTTCTAATTGGGGTTTAACAACATCCTAAACAGTCGGGGTCTAATTAGGGTTTAACAACCTCCTAAACAGTCGGGGTTGTCAACCCCGACTGTTTAGGAATGAGATTAAGCTGACGTGGCAAAAAGTGAGTCGATTTTGGTAAAAAAAAAAAAGGTCGGTTTTGAAAATTTAAACATGAAATTTCTTCTTTGGAGATTTCCTGCTGAAAACTTTTGTAATCTCTAGTGAATGTCACATCCACGTCCTGTGCGTGATACAGAAACAGCAAGAACAACATATATTTTTTTATCAACCACCACTTAACTTTGCTCAATCCCCTCTGTGATTGTTTTCAGATGTCCCAGGATCAAATAATACAATTCACAAATCATATAAAACAACTCCGATAACAGCCTTCTCTTGGTAGATTCAGTGCATCTTGACATGCTGTTCTTTCTCCCGACTTTTTTTTAATATTGTTATCTGCAAAACACAAAGCAGGGTTTTCACATGCCTCAGAGAAAGCAACTGCTGAGCAAGGGATAGCAAGCTCAATGCATATAAAAAGTAAAAAAATAAGGTATACAAGTTAGGAAAACGAGTAGTGTTATTATGTTCGTAATGAATCACAACAGTTATACATGTGAGTGAACTCTAGATGTAAATGAACGGCTGTGATCTACAAAATGGCCTCTCTAGAGTCTCTAGAGTCACACAAGAAGTGAAGAATATAAATTCTATTAAAATTGTTCAGGAAATAGAAATCCTATGGTATTTGGTGGAATTCAAAGCGGGGCTCCAGGAGAACACAGCTCCATACAGTTTTCATTTTATGTCAAAGGAAAAACATACAAACACCAACAATCAACATTAACAAATAAAAAACCAGTGCACTTAAATAAAGGGTTAACTTTAGAAAACAACCCTCAACTATTTTAACTGTAGAAAACCCCCCTCAACTATGGAGTTGTTGTAGATGACCCCTTCAACTTTTAAAATATTATTTATCCCCCTCAACTTTTCTCACTTAAGCCCCTAAACTAATATAATTTAAATCTAAAGGAACAAATGATTTAAAATGACCATACTATCCCTAAGGCATTAAATTTTTTTACTATAGTGTTCCTTTTTAACTATTTTTTTGGTTAAAAATAACTTTCATTTTATTTCCCCATCTTCTTATTCCTCCATCTTCATTGCTAGGTTTACATGCAAATCTAATTTTTTTATTTCTTTTTTGAAACACTAAACTTCTTTTATTTTCTGCTTATTCATGCTTGTAATGTTTGCAGCAATTGAAACTTTTAAATTTTTTTGAAGATTAGTTTCCTCAACAAAACTTGTCGAACCAAAGTCTAATAATTTGATTGGGTGGGGTTTTTAAACTCACATGAATTTTTTTTCAACCAAGGACATTTTAGTCATTGAACATTTCAAATTAATAATATTAGGGGTTATTTGAAAAAACTAGAAAGATAAAAGGGGTTTTGTGAGACACCCCTTAGTTAAGGGGGTTTAGTCATATTTTAAAAGTTGAGGGTGGTTATCTACAACACCCTCAAATTTGAGGGGGGTTTTCTAGAGATAAAATAGCCGAGGGGGTTTTCTAAGACAAGCCTCATAGTTGAGGGGGGTTTTCTAAAATTAACCCTTAAATAAAGTCCAATTTAGTCAGTTAACAAGCAATTAATGATGCTGGGTTTTCAATTAAAAATGCTCCTTTTTAGGTCAATCACCAGATACATATATAATATACATAAATGCAAAGCAACTTACATTGGAACAGGAGGAGAATGAAAGATAAGATTTCTGCAAGTATATGCTTATCGAATCATTGCAACTATCATACTGCAACTGGTTCAGGCTTTCTACTCGCCTTTATGCCTTTTATTGCTGCAAGACCAGTGACTTGTTAATCACATAAAGATCATTGAAAATGTAAAAGAATAAGCCCAAAATTGTACTGAGGCAACTGTAAGAATCGGAAAAATCATGCCTTCTGCATAATCTTTAGCTCCAAATACGGCAGAACCAGCAACCAGGGCATTAGCTCCAGCCTCAATAACCTGCCATCCATAGTCTTTGAAGTATAAATGCTCCAGATTGAAGTCGATTCAAGATTCCACAGAGATCGTAACATTAACTTACAATCAAAAGATAAAATCTAAGTACCACATAATGATACAAATTAAATGCGTTCATGCTTAAAGTCTTGAAGGTAGATCTATAAGAACATCCTGGCATCTGATTGAATTCTTTCAAATGCCCACATCAGTTGAAGTCAGTCCTCATCCGATCAATGAGCAAGCAAACTATGCTTACGGAAGATGCATATAAAAAATCGAAGATGCATACAAAAATTCGTCCTGGCAAATAGAAAAATGACAAAAGAAAATGACCCTTTGCAAGTTTCACCTCAAGTTACATTAATTGGCTGCATATTGGACTGATATGAAAGGTTGATCTTTTGTACGAAATAGGTATGCCTCTCCCTAGATTTGACCCCGGCCGTACACTTCGTCAATTCATCTTCACCACTTAACAAGCACCACTCAATATAACTTATCTTCATATTAGAACTATATCTAAATATTGACTATATCAATGGGCACTTCCACTGTGCAGGTGTACCCATGTCGCACCGACACATGTGTCAGACATCAACACTTGCAAGGTCACTCCTTGGATACGTGTAGTGAAATTACTGAAACATGATCTCCATTATATATACATGTTTCAACATAGAACACTGTTATACACTTCTTGGTCACATATCTCAGAGTAATCATGATCTTATTAATTCAAATTACATGTTTGAGGTGTTCAGTTACTTCCAATTACACATAAAAGCTATACTTTAGCAGAAAAAAGCCATCAAAATATTGACTTACCATACATTTTTATATAAAACTAGGATAATGTAGTTGCATTTGGCTATCCTATATAAAGGTGAACAGCCAAGTTCAATTCCTTTTGCAAAGTTATAAAAATGTATGGTAGGCCAAAACTTTATCATATATGTAATAACTGTATGTTCTATATTATTATAAATATTTACTCAGAATCTTGGGTGTGAACATGTATGCAGGTCTGTCAACTCTCTCATTCTTCTTATTCTTAAATTGCCTAATGGCATGTCCTTGTGTTGCCTTGTTCCCGTGTCATTTTTGAGAAATTGCAGTGTCCTGTGTTTGTATCCATGTCCTACCCATGCTGCATGTTGTGTACATGCTTTGATCAATTTTCATACTTAGTTGACAGTTGACCCTCATCACATGCACCAATTACGTGAACCACAGAAGTATCACATGCCCATCCTCTGATCAATATTCATGCCCAGTTATAAAACCTAAACTTACATGGAAGAACATACTACTCGTGTATGAGGATTTATAGAGGTACAGATGTCCTGGAAAAGGATAGGTTGTTATCTATTACATGAGACTACCTTCTACCACCAAGAAAATTACACATGGAACTAATATAGTAATATGATGAGTGTCATCTCTCAGGCTCTTCAATATGGACACTAAATGTACTAACTGACATGACATATCCTATTTGAGAGGTTATGCTAAATATGTCTACAACGGTACAGCCCCTTTCCTATGGACCCAATGCAAAAATATTTAAAAGGTAGTCCGGCAAGCAGCAACATGCAAAAGACAGAGGTCAGAGTATGCTTATAAAATGTAAAGAAGAAAATAACTGATATCCTGCTCCTAATAGTCACAGAGAAAGTAGGGAGTCCAAGAAACGCATTTACAAATTGGTTACAAGAAGGTCACCTTATATGCATTCGATGGACTAACTCCGCCGTCCACTTCAATCCATGGGTTCACCCCCTGCAGTTCAAGATATGACAATAGTTATGTTTTCTGCACTAAGTAAAAATGAGGAAAGAAGAAAACAATACTACTCAAAGAAGTCGGCACTTAGCAGTCAATATTACCTTTTCAGCGCATAATCTTCTCAAGTCTGATATTTTCTTAACTTGACTCTCAATAAAACTCTGGCCACCAAAGCCAGGGTTAACTGACATGATCAAGACCAAATCCACCGCTGTCCAGGTAATAAGAGGTAACACATCAGGGTCCAGTAATGACTATAGTGTTACTGTATTAATGATTTCTTCTAAAAATAGAGCTTATAACATAGAAAACAACAGAGATACTCAACATGAAGTATTAATGAAAATGGAGAGCAAGCATTTTGGGGTATTTTCTACATAGACATCTCAATCAAAAGCAGTTAGACTCGCATGAATATGCCTTAGTAAGATGCCAACTATATAATAACTACAGTGAACTCTAAGGATGCTCAGTAGTAGCAGTACTAGGATGGGTGGCCTCCAAAGAAAGCCTTAGCATAGAGTGTTCAGTGAACATTGGCAAAGTGAGCATGAACAGAAGAGACAATGAATTTCAGCATTTTATTTCCTTCCAAAAACCAAAATTTAAGGTCCAAAAACCTTCTTCAAATCCTGAATCACCATACTCAACATCTTAATTCAACCCATCCTAAATCTTTGATATGAAACATCAGCCTCAGTCTTATATGTTATCAAGTTCTAAACCTTTTGGGTCTACTTGCCAATTATTCCAACAGTTAATTAATAAATACCATAGCATTGATTATTCCTGAAAATTTACTTTTTTAAAATGTTCAAATAATTTCTTTTCCCATAGCTAAATCAACTGCTCAGAAATACTAATTCCCTTGCATACTGTCAGTCGATTATAGGAAAAGCATGTTCCCATCTCCTATTTTGTTCAATGACATGTTATTTCAAGACATGTATCTTACAGGTCTCTTCATCTTGCAACTAACTCAAAAAAGAAAGTAAAGTCAGCAAGAACATTTCAGAATGACCAGAACAACAAACTTTAGATATAAATAGCTTTATAGCAGTAATTTTGCTACATGGAATTCTTGATACTGAATAACTTGATGCATCCACCAATATATTCTTACCATCCAGCACGTATTCTATAGCTGACAATGGAGTTCCAGGATTTAAGACAACTCCAGCTTTCGCTCCCAGACTTTTTATCTGAAATTATACAAAAAATATTGTCAACTGTCACATGTCAAATGGAATAATACAGACAAGTAAATATATAAATGATACGTAAGGAAAAACTACATTATAATAATACAATATACAGCTGAAATGATATGGTAAGCTAGTTGCATTGATCATTGAGTTGTATGTCAAAAGTGGCTTATAAATGCATTTTTAGTAAACGTGATTAAAGAAAAAAGCAATGAAGAAATAATTATTCACACTCAGGACAGAAGAAAGGATGCATAGATGACTAAATATTCTGGACCTCAAACTCCAATAGGGGCTCCCCTTTATGGTCACATGGATTCCAAGCCGTTTAGACAACTAGCCATGACACCAAATAGGCCTCTACAATTACATTAATTTTGACATGATAAGTATCGCTGATTTCTATCAGGATCAGACTAGAAGAGTTATAATCATGCTTTAGAACAAAAATAAGAAGTTTCTCGTCATCGATTAGATTATTCTAGTCTCTCAAAGAGTAAGTTCTGTGGCCTTACCTGATCAATTGTCCGATGCAGATGAATTGTTGCAGACTGCTCACAGTGAACGCTGACAATGTCTGCACCGGCCTTGATAAAGTCTGGAACTCGCTGCTCAGGTTCTACAATCATCTGCAAAATTTGATTACAAGTCCAGTGAGTTTGTAGAACATCCTAATCAATAGAATTATAGATACGAATCTCATGAAAGCAACACAATTCAACTTGTAACCAATGAAAAATACACCAACTGTAATAATATGAAGGAAATGCTAAGGAATGAAATGAGAAGCTTGTCATACCAAATGCACATCCAATGGTAGATCAGTAACTGGACGTAAAGCATCAACCACAAGAGGTCCTATGGTGATATTTGGCACAAAACGCCCATCCATCACATCAACATGAATCCAGTCACATCCTGCAACTTCCACTGCTTTCACCTAAATAATTACAGCTCACAATTCAATATATAAAAAGATATATGCATCTGAAGATGAATGCAATAATCAGAAGATCTCTATCAGTATAGTCTCTATAAAAGTTGAGATACTAATAAGCCAAGCTGCAAGAATTGCACAGTTGCATACTATATGCTGGGACATAGATGTATTTCCCCGGACAGGTGGATACTTATCAGTCAAAAGTGTGTGTAAACTTTCTCAATTGTCATTATCCTTCTTTCTCACTTGAAAGATTGGAAGCAATAATAGATATTATTATGATTATAATTTCAAAATGAAGAGAGATGATCTTCATCATCAAAAATCGAATTCATCTCAAGACGAAGAATATTTCTTTTACTCTATTAATTAATGGTAATTACTAAAGTTTCACTTTTGCGTATGCAATCCAGTAGAAGCAATTGATTGACCTTGTAACTTAATGAGAGTCCAGTCCTAATTTATATCCTGAATTAAGATTTTAATGTTGCTAACGACCCTTTATAAATCATGAAATAAACCTCAACTGGTATATGGTAGCTGGGCAAGTAGATGATTTAAGTCCCATTTTTTCAGCGTTTTTTAGTTACAGTAAACCAGATTGGACTAGAAGTGCAGACATGTATTAAATTAAGGAACAGCATATGATGTTATCCCTTAGCAAATATAGGATCTTTTGAACACAATTAAGAGAATCAAGTGCTGAATAAAGTTAAATAACAAGCTGATGGTGTTGGATTTATGTCCAATGATGGGCCAATATATTAAATAAATGTGTATTGTGTGCTATCAATTAAGCTTAGCCCATTAAAGTGATCTAATTTATGGTTTGAGCTTTTAATGCATAATTAAAGTATAGGCCTCCTATGTGTAGAGACAGGGCTGAATTGATAATTATAAATAACTGGATTCAGTTATAAATATAGTTGTGATTCCCCAAATCTCTACGTACAATCTCTTTATGATTCCCCATCTTCAGAAAAATTAGGATTTCTCTAAGGAGGAGGATATACGTACAAGATTTGTAAGATCTACATCTAAAAACTTAAGAATCACGTCCTACTCCATGGATTCAGGTATGGTTCCATATATTCTTAATTATCTCAACAGTTTGACATGAACAATCTTTGGATTGATTAGGGTTTCATCTCTTAAAGTAAAAGTTTATCTTTTCTTGATCTGACAATTGATATCATAGCGGTGTTCATGCTAATCTATTGAGAATCAATTTTAATTTGTGATGTGATTCTCTTGTATGTTCTCAAATCTAAAAATCCTTCCTTTTGAATTGTTTAATTTGAGAATAAAATTTGGTAGTTCTTACTCTTATATATTCTTCATAATTTTGGATTCAAAAGGGTTATTATATTTTGAATTTTCTGAATCCAATTTAGAAGAATTCATGTTTGATTGAAAATTAGGGTTTGATCATCATGTCATGAATATGCAAGACTTTTTTGAGAAATTTAGATGTTTTAATTCAGTTTTCATTATGTATTCATGATTATTTGATCAAAGAAAGATTTCAAGCTAGAAATCTCCCAAAAAAATGCAACAGTGCTATCTACCACTACAGTGTCGGCAAAAAAAATTGTTACAGTGTTGGATTTTTCTGCCATTGTCGCTACAGTGTCAGCAAAAAAAAGCATAGGAATTTCAAGTGGGTCGTAGTTGCATCACTGGGCCGTTTTAAAAAAAACAGTGTTATTAAGTGGGTCGCCCCTCCTTAACTGGCTCATTCTTAAAAAAAGGGGAAACGGACGGGCTAACCATGAGCATCCAGGCCCACCTGCAATATTAGGCTTATATATATACATATATTTTTTTAAATTGTATTAGGCCTGCCTGCAGTGATGGGCTCCCTTTTAGATTTTGGAATTTAAATTTTATTTGTTTATTGGATTCAAAATTTTGGTATTAAAGTTTATTAAAAATATATGATGTGTTGAAAAGAATTGATTGAGACAACATGTTACCAAAGTAACCTATCTTGTGAAGATTAATTTATTTTAAACATCAAATGGTAGTATGTATATGGTTTATGCAAATATTAATCAACCCAAAAAACTGTTGATATTTGAATGAATCATATGCATACCCGTGGTGATAAATATGTGACAATTATTCGGTTTAACATGTGAACAATAAATCAGTCCAAAGAAAAGTTTATTATTTAAACATGTCTTATTATCAATATTTGATCACTATATCAAGAGTGCCACTTACAAATTAATATTTCTGTCCAAAGACTAAATATTAATGTTGTGTTAGGTATCTTAAGACGGGTATTGCCAATTTTGGATTCATAAATTTTGATTTGGTTTCTTATGTGAGCTTATTTATTTTCTTATATTATTTTCTGATTCAGCTGTTAGTTCTGCTTCAAAAATTACTATCAACATTAATTCCATTCCTATGCTAAATGACACCAACTTCAAGTAATGGCAAGAGAATGTTATGATAGTTCTCGGAGTCATGAATCTCGATCTTGCGTTAAGGCTTCTTTCTCCTACACCTCTTACAGATAAAAGTTTTACTGATGAGAAAAGGGATATGGAGAGGTTGGAAGAAGTCATATCACATGTATATGATGATTATCAAGAGGATCATTCCAGAAGCACTCAACAGCACTATGTCTGAGAAGATAACTACTGTCAAAGAGTTCATTGAGGACATTGAGAAAAGGTTTGCCAATAATGAAAAGGCTGAAACTAGTATACTTTTGGCAAATCTTATCTCAATGAGATACAAAGGGAAATAGAACATTAGAGAGTACATCATAGAGATGTCTCACACTGCTTCGAAGCTGAAAGCACTTAAGCTTTAACTCTCTGAGGACTTGCTTGTGCATTTGGTTCTTATATCTCTTCCCCCACATTTCAGTCAATTCAAAGTAAGCTACAATTACAAAAAAAAAAAAAGCTTGGTCTCTTAATGACCTTATCTCATATTGTGTGCAAGAAGAGGAAAGGTCGAAGCAAGAGAAGACAGAAAGTGCTCATTTGACTAGTATTTCTAAGGACAAAGGGAAGAAAAGAATGAAAAATAAAGAAGCTGCAGAAGCTCAACCATAAAAAAACAACAGAAGATAAATAATGGAGATAGTTGTTTCTTTTGTGAGGTTACAGGACATAAGAAGAAAAAATGTACCAACTATCACACATGGCGTACAAAGAAAGATACACTCTTCAATTTTTATTTGTTTTAAGGTTAATTTATGTTCGGTACCTAGACACATGTGGTGGTTAGATTTTGCTGTCACAACTAACATCAGTGTATCTATGCAGGGATATCTGAGCTGCCGAAAGCCAAGTGATAGTGAAAGATATATTTATATGGGCAATGGCAAGAATGTTGAAATTGAGGCAATTAGGACATTTAAATTATTGTTAAAGTCCGATTGTTATTTGGATTTATAAGAGACTTATGTAGTACCGTCATTCAGACGGAGTTTGATTTCTATTCTAGTATTAAACAAATTTGGTTATTTTTGTTCTTTTAGAAATGCCAAGTTTAGTCTTTTTCAGAATTCAAATATGATTGGTACCGGTTCTTTATCTTATGCTGATGCCCTTTATTTGTTTGATATGGTTGCTTCATATCATGAAATCTTGCAATTAAGCACTCAATGTGTAAAGAGAAAATTGATCAATGAGAATTTTGCTTCGTTATGACACAAGAGATTAAGTCACATCTCCAAAAGGAGAATTAAAAGACTTGTGTCAGACGGGATTTCAGATCCCCTTGATTTTACAAATTTTAAAATTTGTACTAATTGCATAAAAGGGAAACAAACAAACATAAGGAGATTTGGTGCCAACAGAGCTACAAACATCTTAGAACTGATACACAAATATTTATGGGTCATTCCCTATAGTTTTTTTGGAATGATCAATAATATTTATCACGTTCATAAACGATTTTTTGCGTTATGGCTACCTTAATCTCATACATAAAAAGCCTCAATCACTGGACGTGTTCAAAACTTACAAAGATGAAGTTGAGAACCAACTCAACAAAATATTAAAAGTGTTAGATCTGACCATGGGGGTGAGTATTACGGCAGGTATGACAGTTCAGGTGAACAATGTCCAGGACCAGTTGCTAAATTTCTAGAGTGCGGTATCGTCTCACAACACACCATGTCTGGTTCTCCTATCATGAATGGTGTTGTCGAAAGACGAAATAGAACTCTCAATGACATAGTAAAGAGTATGATTAGACATTCTAACTTATCATAATCTCTCTGGGGAGAAACATTAAAGACTACAGCTTACATAGTCAATAAAGTATCCACAAAAGTAACTGCCAAAACCCCTTATGAACTTTGTACATGCAAAAAGCCTAGTCTAGAACATCTGCACATTTAGGGATGTCCAGCTGAGACTAGGCCTTATAGGCTACACGAAAAGAAACTAGACTTTACAATAGTCAGATACTACTTTATTGGTTACTCTGAGAGATCCTGGGGTTATAAATTTTATGATCTTGTTTCCAAGTCAAGATTTGAGACGGGAAACGCCCGCTTCTTTGAGGATGTTGAGTTTGTGGGGGGAGATAATGTTAAAGACTTTGTCTTTGAAGAGGAATATATTAATATTCCCATAGCTACTATTGACATTGATCACGTTTCTATTCCTGACATTGTTTAAGAAACATATTCAAATCAAGACAATATCATAGAACCTCTCGTACCAGAAATTGTTCCAGAAGAACAAACTCTGTCACGACGTCACCTTAAGAACCTGTGCCATTAAGAAGATCCACTAGAGAAAGGAGAAGTGCGGTTCCAAATGATTATATTATATTTCTCCAAGAATATGAAGATGACATCGGGAAGGTGAAAGATGATCCAATCAACTTTCATCAAGCCATAAAAAATTCTAAATCTCAATAGTGGATTGATGTCATGAATGAGGAGATAAAGTCTATGAAGGACAATAACGTCTGGGAGCTTGTCCCGTTGCCTGAAGGTGCAAAGCCCATTGATTGTAAATGGATATTTAAAACCAAGAGGGATTCAAAATGCGATATGGAAAGGTATAAAGCTTGTCTTATCGCTAAAGGTTTTATACAGAAAGAATGCATCAACTATAAAGAAAGTTTCTCTCCGGTTTCATCGAAAGACTCTTTCAAGATAATAATGACACTTGTGGCACATTTTGATCTTGAGCTACATCAAATGGATGTAAGCTTGCATTTCTCAATGGCGGCCTTCATGAAACAATATATATGGTGCAGCCAAAAAATTTTGTGTCGGGAGATACAACGAAGATGGTTTGCCAATTGAAGAAATTCATCTATGGGCTTAAGCAAGCTTCGTGTTAGTGGTATTACAAGTTTCATCAAGTTATCATCTCATTCGATTTTGAGATGAATGTAGTCGATGATAGTGTATACCACAACTTCAGTGGCAGTAAGCATATTTTTCTGGTTTTATATGTCGATGACATATTGCTTGCCAGTAACGATATATGCTTATTGCACCAAACTAAGAGATTTCTATCAAAAAAAATTGAGATGAAAGATCTTGGGGACGCCTCTTTTATATTAGGTATACAGATACACCGGGATCGCTCTCGGGGTATACTTGGGTTATCACAAAAGGGCTATATTAAGAAGGTTCTTAAAAGATTTGGCAAGCAAAATTATAAGCCAGGTGACACCCCTGTGGCTAAGGGAAATAAATTCAATCTCAATCAATGCCCTAAGAATAATTTTAAGATTAAAGAGATGCAGCAGATTCTTATGCGTCAGCAGTGGGAAGTCTCATATATGTTCAAGTATGTACACGTTCGGATATTGCGTACGTAGTTGGAATGTTGAGCAGATACTTAAGTAATCCTGGAATGGATAACTGGAAAGCAGCCAAGCGAGCCTTGAGGTATTTGTAGAGAACAAAATAATACATGCTCACGTTTTAGAGGTCGGACCAGTTAGAGATTGTTTGGGTATTCTGACTCTAATTTTGCTGGATGCCAAGATAGTATGAAATCTACTTCGGACTATATCTACCTATTTGCTAGAGGAGCTATCTCTTGGAAGAGTGCTAAGCAGACACTCATAGCTTCATCCACCATGACAGCTGAGTTTGTTGAATGCTGTGAGGCATCTAATCATGAAATATGGTTGCGGAATTTTGTCACTGGACTACGAATTGTAGATGGCATTGAAAGACCACTTAAGTTATTTTGTGATAATAAGTTAGCAGTGTTGTATTCTAACAACAATAGGAGCTCAACGAAGTCGAAATATATAGACATCAAGTACTAGTTGTTAAAGAAAGAGTTCATAGTGGATTTGTATCTATAAAGCACATTGGAACAAACTCTATGATTGCGGTGACTAAGGAATTACCACCCAAGGTCTTTCATGAGCACACTACTCATATAGGTGTTTTATCTCTTCAAGATATATCATTTTAGTGAGGGTTTGCATTTTAGATGCTTTTGTTCGTAGACACATTGGTTATGGTTTTATGGATATTGTATTGTTATTTATTGCAGTATAAAATATTCAGTTCATATTCACTCTGATTTTTGTATAGTTTGATCTCACTAAGGTGTTAAGGTGGACCAGTTGGAAATAGGCATGTTAAGATCTCATTACATGTAATTTTCATACTACACATCCATGCTTGATCTGTGTCGTTGGTTGTATTGATATACGTGATCATTGATGGGTCTAGTTGTGACAAATGCAATAAAAATCGCCTTGATCCTATGTCAATACAACTAATGGATGAGATTGTTAAAGATGCATATTATCTGATAGCAAAATTCATGAGCTCACACAGTTACATCATAATTCACAATATAATAACATATATGGCCCAAGTGAGAGATTGTTGGACTTATATCTAATGATGGGCCAATATAGAAAATAAATGTGTATTGTGTGCTATCAATTAATGTTAGCCCATTAAAATGATCTAATTTAGAGTTTGAGCTTTTAATGCATAATTAAAGTATGTGCCTCCTATGTGTAAAGATCAAAATATAATTGTTAATTATATGATGGGCTGAGTTGATAATTATGAATAACTGGATTTAGTTATAAATAGGGTTGTGGTTCCCCAAATCTCTGCATACAATCTCTTTTGATTTCTCATCTTCAGAAAGATTAGGATTTCTCTAAGGAAGAGGGTATACGTAAAATATTTGGAAGATCTACATTTCAAAACTCAAGAATCATATCCTACTCCATGGATTCAAGTATGGTTCTGCATTTTATTAATTATCTTAATAGTTTGATATGAACAATCTTAGGATTGATTAGGATTTCATCTCTTAAAGCAAAAGTTTATCTTTTATTGATCTAACAGATAAAACTTGATCTCATTGCAAGAACGGTGCATAGACATGCCTAAATCTCTTAACAGTAACAGTGAATCAACATCCTTATTAGATACTATGCAGAGTAAACAGACCTTTGTCACTTAAGTAGAATCCAGAAGAATGTAGAGATTATATGAACAAAGGATTAAACTCGATTAGTGCATTAGTTTAAGTTTCAACTTATAAAAGGGTTGACAATTGGCAACTCGTGCATTTGAGGACCAATTTTTTGAAAACAAAAAACATCATAAATTGGAATTAACCAATTTGTTTAAATCTATTTTGACCTGATTTTGAGAAAACTAATTCACCAAAATTTCAGGGTGACCTTCTACCGACCACAGAATTTGAAATATCCTAAAAAATCATGACACCGAAAATTTCTATCACAATTTGCAATTCCTGATTTCGTGATCGTCTCTTCTGGGCACATTTCGTTGTATTTCCTCTCTTGATCATCTACCATTTTAGACCAAACAACGAACATATATCAGACCCTCTCAGTTATTCTAACTTCCGCATCTGACAATAATAAACACTTGATATTTCCTATTGAAATAACACACTTCCTTCAGTACAAGATTTAAGCATGTTCAATCTCTCCACTAAGTCAAGCGACTATCACGGAGAAAGAGTATGACCCGAACTTAATAAATTCATGTCAATAATTTAATTTCCACAGAGCACATAAATACACAACCTAACATTGTTTACCTGCTCGCCGAGCTTGGCGAAATTAGCCGAGAGGATGGAAGGGGAGACAATTACATCGCTTTTCGAGAATTTATCAACTCTCGATGCCTTAACACAGAACCTCCTTCTGCAACAACCGGAAAAAAAAAAGGAAAAAGAAAAAAAACACACACACACACACACACAAAATTCACGAAGAATGAGACATGAACAACAGCTGTTTGATAAAATTCCAAGATGAAAAAGGATAGAGCGTTGACCTCGGAGAGAGGGATTTTTGGGGAGGAGAGAAGAGGGAGAGCTTGCGAGAGCAGAGAGAGGAAGAAGATGAAGCAGCTGCTGCTGTTGCTGAAGAGATCATCATCTTCTCGATTCTCTTTAGAGCAGAGAGATGCTGATTTTGTTGGGTTTTATCTCCTTTTTTATTTCGTTGGCTTTGATTCAACGTTTTTTTTTTTTCTCTTTACTTTTTCGGTTGTTTTCAGACCGAAACAAAAAATGAGGAGGTTGTGGGTGACACGTTCTCAACCGCAGCCTTTTCCTCTTGTTATCTGCAGTCATCCGCAAAATTAGGCGAGTGAGATATTCGTGGATATTCTTGTAAATTTTCTGAAAGCGTTCTTTTGGTTCAAAAGAGGAAATATATAATATATTTCTACGCAGTCAATTCAAACCCCACGATTACCAGACAAGAACTCAATTTTGGTGGCAAATAAAGTTACGAGTTTGTAGTGCATCATGTTGATCATTTGAACCGCGTATAAGAAAGTAGCATATATTATATATATAATCTACGAGGTACTTAATTTTTTCTTCATAGGACATCAAAACATTGTGGGTACAAAGGGATGATTCTTGTTGCTCCAAAGCTTTTATGCCGATTTTGTTTAAGTGCCAAATATTTGTATGAAAATATTAGGACTCTCCGAGGTATGCGCATCATTTTGTTGGCTCCCTCAAAGGCCTGCCCATTGCCCATCTAAATGAAGCCATTATTTTTGCAATTATTTTTAGACGGTATTTTGGCTAGTGCGACCGTTGACTATCTTGTCAACTGAAAAGACTTGGAAGTATTTTGGTGCTTGAGTGCTTCTTCTTTTTCTTTTGTTTTTCTTTTTTCCTTTTTTTTTTCTGTGTGTATTAGACTAACCCGTTAGAAGGGGATCCGGATCCTCTCCTAATGATAGGGTTCCTAATATCTCCTAATGAGATCTTGACCATTGATTTATCAATCAAAGGTCAAGATCTTCTCATGCACAAAAGTAGGGGGGAGATAAGGATAAGATCTTGGCATTTGATTGATAAATCAAAGGCCAAGATCTTCTTATTAGGAGATATTAGGAGAGGATTCATTAGGAGAGGATCCCAATTCGTTAGAAGGATATAGCTCAATTTATATAAACTAATTTGATGAGCAAAGATGGTCAAATGAAATTTAGGTGTCAATGTAATACCCTAACATAGTCCTATATCGACTATTGAGTGAGCATTTAAAGGGTTTAAGTAGTAAAGTTAAAGGACTCAAGAGCAACCAATGCTAGCAACTTTTAATAGTAGATAGATTGAGTGGAACAATGAGTTGTTACCTATGGGTCCCACTTTAACTGTTGAGTGGAAAATTCAAGACTCATCTGATCTATATCTATAACTATATTTATATCTATATCTATACTATTTACAAAAGAGAATATGTGTGTCAAACTTTTGATTTCCTAAAATATCCTGCAAAGTCATTCAATTAAATATAATTATCACTAATTTTATCTTATCGATTTTATTATTAAATAAGATAAATGGTTTACCTTTTATTTTACAATATTGAATAATAAATGGTTTACATTAGTGGTACAATATTATCTAATAAATATATAATAATAGTACATGAGATAATAAATTAAACTAATATTTCTTAATTAAATTAGTAAATTAAGATGATTGAAATATTTAGAAAAAAAAAACCCTGGTCGAAAAACTTAACGTACAACATATTTGCATCTTCTATAGAATAATGCATATGCATCTTAACATACGGACTTCTGTTTAATTTAACTTTTATCTATTGCAAAGCAGAAAGCATAAATTCTTAGGCAATTTGGAACTCAAAAGGTGGAGCAGTTTCATCAAGGGCTTTCTATCTCTTAGTTAAATTCAATTAAATTGAGGTAATGTTTTGGAATTCCAAAGGTGATCCTATTCGCTTCTCCTACACCCATAGAGCTTTCTCACTCTCAATTAAAAGCAATCAACTCTTTTAAATTGATTTTAATCTATTTATATGCACGACTATATAATATATTTATATGTGAAGCTAGCTGCATCTTGAACATCAAAGGTCATGCAGTTGTGAAACTGCACTATTTAGTTTGAATTATTATTGGCTACTGTATTCGATTATACTATGCGCTAAACGAATGTGAAACTGACACATAGCGAAAACAACTTGTGGAAACTTTTCCCACCCACATCAAAATTGTAAAATGCTCGTTTATATCAAGAACTTACCATCGATCAGTGATGGATTTAGGGGTGGAAGTTTATCAGATAATTATTAAAAAGTTTGATTATTGTTTATCTAATGATACGTTTAAATTCATTTTGAGAGACCACTTAAGAGACATCAAATAATTTTAAATTTATTAAACGGACCAAATAAGCATTTACATGTATGGGTCATTTGTTATATTGCAACTTGAAAGTTACACGTCTTGTTGGCAAAGGTTTGGGGACTGACCTTTAATTTGTTTCTCTTTAGGGGCTGTTTGGTTTGTTTTTTAACTCAGTGGAAAAGTTTTACACCGCCTTCACATCAGATTTTTCATGGCCACGTAGGATATAAGCTTTCCGTCGGTTTTTTCCCCATCTTTGGTTCGCTAGGGTTGAAGAAGGAAAACTCGGTGAAAATCGCCGCCACATCAGATTTTTTTTCTCTTCCCCAATTCCTTCCTCAACCTCGTGAAATAGACGAAAACTACAGTCATGTCAGCTTTTTGCCATATAAACAAAAGTTTTCCCTTTTTTCATGTGAACCAAACACAAGAAAAATAAATACATTGGTTTCCCACCATTTTTTTTATGCGAACCAAAGTGAAACAATTTATTTCTTGGAAAAGTTTAGAAAACTCAAAACTTGTGTTTTTATATATGGAAATGCATTTCCTTATATCTAGGAAACGAACCAAACAACCCCTTAACTTCTTATTTCTAATTTAAAGCAAATTTGTTGTGATTGATTAGTGATTGTCAATCTGCAAAGTTGCAACTCGAATAGCAATAACAAATAAGGTATGTTATTATTACTAATATATTTTATTAATCATATATTTTCTATTATTATTTGTACTATTATTTTATTAGTTACTTTTAATATAGTGGAACGTAATATATTATTAAAGTTATTATATTATTAAAATTAAAAGTTGAAATAAATTTTTTAATATTAATTAGTTTGTTAACCAAATATTTTTACAATTATGTTAGAAAAATAATTTTAAAAATTATGTATAACTTTTTTAATATATTATTATGAACTAATATAATATTCATTTTTAGAACATAAGATAAATCTAAACATGTGCAATGCACATGCATGTACACTATACTAGTACTATTCTAAAAATATGAATGGTGTTAAAACTTTTTCCAACAATACCCTTAAAAAATCGGATTGGGATCCTCTACTCATGGATCCCCTCCTAATATCTCCTAATGAGGAGATCTTGGCCATCAATCTATCCATGAACGGCCAAGATCTCATCCTCCTCCCCCTCCTACTTCTCCTCATGAGGAGATCTTGGCCGTCCATGGATAGATTGATGGCCAAGATCTTATGAGGAAATATTAGGAGGGGATCCATGAGTAGAGGATCTCAATCCTAAAAAATCATATACAATTGCCAAAGTACTCTCATTCAAGTTCTGTCTTAATTAGCTCATAAAAATGCAATGGCATAATAGTCGTTATTTGTCAAGTTAATACATTTTAATTTTAATTTTTTTTAACTTTTGGTAGGTGAGATCGGACAGTGTGTTATGGTCATTTACCTTCCATAATGCATTCTGAAAGTTATGGCCACTTACCAAATATCAAAAGTACATCATTAAACAAACAATTAAATAGCAATTTCACTATTTCAGTAATAATTTGTCACAAACACAGTCAGATTCTCACTCATCCACCCCTGGTACTACCAAATTCAAGCCCCCAACCATCATTGCATTATAGAATCTTGTAAGTTTGCCTTACATTTGGCTCCTCATCTTCCTCTCTACCCTCCCTCTCCATGCATTATATAATCATTTCTCTTCAAACTCCTCTCTTAAACTTGAAAAGATAACCAATGAGAGAAATCCTCGCCGACAATCAGATCCGCAATAATTTTGGTTATCAATGTGTTTAAAAAAAAAAAAAAACTATGCCATGGTGTTTCTTTTTCAAATGTGTTTTGAAAACACCATTTTAGTCAAACTAGTTTGACCATTTATATAACGGGCCCGGGGCGGCCGGGCGGGGGGGGCCGGGGCGCGGCGCGTGCGCGGCGGCGGCGCGGGGGGGGCGGGGGGGCGGGGGGGGCGCGCGGGGGCCGGCGGGGCCCGGCCTAGTGGGAGCGGCCGGCAACGGCAGTGCGGGCGGCGGCGTGGCCGGCAGGTCCAGGTGGCGGGTAGCCGGCCGGCCGGCCGACGGGCGAACGACGACTGCTCAACTTTACCGGCGAGGGCTAGCGGCGAGCTGGCCGTCGCGGGTCGGCCCACGGGTGGCGGGTGGCGGTGGGCTGGCCGTCGGCAGCGCGGGCAGCGCGGCTGTCGGTGGCTGGCGGCGGGCCCACCGGCGGCAGGGGGCGGGGAGGCGGCGGGGGGGGGGGTGGCTGGTGCGTCCGGCCGCACGGCATGACGACGGCGGGCCCGGCGGCGTGGCCGGCGGGGGCCGAGCGGTGGCGGTGCGCGGTGGCCGCGCGACGGTGGAGGCGTGGCTACCGGCTTGGCGCGAGCGACGGGATCATCGCGAGCGGCGCGGTGCCGACGGGTGGCCAACGAGCTGGCGAGGTGGCCGTGCGGCTCAGGTGGCGGTATGGTTGTGGCGGACGCGCGGTGAACGACTGACCGACTGACGGACAGGGCGGCGGTTGGGCCGACTGGTGGCTGGCTGCGTGCGGCGACGCGTGGCAGTCGGTTGGCGGCTGTGCGCGGCGCGGAAGGCTGCTTGCGCGGCCCGACGCTGCACTGGCGCGATCGGCGGCGGACCGGGAGCGACGGCGATGGCCTGTGTGGCGACGGCGAGCGGCCGGGCGCCCGACAACGGTCACCCGCGAGCCGGGCGACCGCCGACGACGAGCGCGGGCCGGTGCGCCACGGGTGGCGTCGGGCCAAGAGCGCTGGGCGACAGGCGGCGGCGGCGTACGGTGGCCGACCAGCGGCGGCGGGGTGGCGGCAAGCTAGGGCAGCGGCGGAGTCTTATCATTGCGGCTGCTTAGATGCAAAAACCGGAATCTTTAAAATCAAGCCTTGATTTCTTGTTGATGTT